CAGTCCGCTGAGTCAGTGCAGAGAGAGCACGCGGTGACCCCAGAGCCGCGCGCGCTCTGCTGAGTCAGTGTGCTAAGGCTGTTCTGAGTATAGGTAATTACTTGTCTGAATGGGAGAAAACTTAGCAAGAACTCTCCAATAATTAGTAATCTCTTTCCATGCCTAATCTAGCATGTGATGGTTCAGAATCGTCAGCACCTAATGTTTCATTGTTTCTGTCTGTCCTTTTTCCATTTCCTGCTGCAAGCCTGAGAGTCTTGCAATAAACAAAATACAGAGCAACTTTAATTCCGGGACATGTGGTTGAAAAAGCAATAGACTTAGTTCTTACGTGGGAAGAGGCATTGTCCAGTGTGCCGCAGGGGTGTTGTATCAGTTTTGCTTCTCTGGGTAATTGCCTTGTATAATTCTTTTTGAGTCATAGTCCCATTTGAGAATCAGGAAATCTTTTATTTCTATTTTATTAAAAGTCATACAAATCCCTTCTTGCCAATAACCCTGCAGCCCTACCCCACCCTCACAGTGGTACCATGGTTCAACACTTTGAGAGCTTGGTTGTGTTTTTTAAAAATCTTGGCGTAAAGAATAGTTACGATATGCTAATGTGCTTCAAATTAGATTAATGAAAGATTTGGAATTTTTTGTTTTATTTTATTATGATTCCAGGCCCGTGCCGTCTTGGAAAGGGAGTTCAGCAACCTTTTGGTCGTGGGCACTGACAGACGGTTCGATGAAGTAAGTTTTCTGTCTAATGTTTTCAGACTTTGCATTAAATACAATGGGGACCCGTCTCAGGGACACCATGTAGCCAGGCTATGTCTTCTAAACGTGCAGATGGTTTTAAAAGTTTACAGATTTATCAACCAATGAGCGTTTAACTAGTATTTTCAATAAGCCAGTGGATTTTTTGGCAGTTTAATTTTTTACAACCCACAGAAATGTGATAAAACTTTGAGTGCGGCATAGGAATGAAGCCTGGACGTTGTGTTTTGGGGACAGCTGGGTGTCCACCCAGAGCCCCTGTGCTGTGGGGCATGTTCCAGAAGTGTCCTAAAACACACACAGCATTAATTTCCCTTTATACAAAACCAGGACTCATTTATTTCCACACTGTTATTTATTATTCTTGTTATCAGATCTCAGGAAAATTTGGGTTTGACAAGGGGCGGAGGAGGACAGCTCTGAAGCTGAAACACTTCTTGCTGTCTCCTGGCATAAGCTTAAAAGCTGCTTAAGAACTCCTTTACAGATGATTTTCAAAGTATTATAATGCAGTCAGGTGATTTCTGCAGGATAGGAAGTCAAGGGTGGTGCCCGGTCGGGGGAACTTGACCCCCGGCGGCTCAGGACCGTCCTGGTGTCTGCGCGGTCAGGGTTCTAGCTCTTCCTTCCACTCTCAGAAGTTTCCAGTTTGGACTATAAATTGTATGGTCATCAACTGACTCATAGCAACCCTGTAGGACAGCAAAGAACTGCCCCATGGGGTTTCCAAGGAGCAGCTGGTGGATTCAAACTACCAACCTTTCGGTTAGCAGCCAAGCTCTTAACCTCTGTGCCGCCAGGGCTCCATGTGGTCATCAGGAAGGGTTTAAGTACATATGAACAAAAATACATAAATGATTGCAGTGATAATTTTTAAGAACAGTTAACTGCGTACTACATCCTGTATCTTACAATCCCCCTTCTTTTCCATTCCTGAACTCACCAGGACGATGATAAAAGCTTCAGGAGAGCACCTTCCTGGCGGAAAAAATTCAGACCAAAAGACATTCGTGGCTCAGCGGCTGGGTCAGCAGAGACGCTGCCTGCAAACTTCAGGGTCACTTCTTCGATGTCCTCACCCTCTATGCAGCCAAAGAAGATGCAGATGGACGGTAGGTCAGGCGAGGTGTCGGCTGGTCACTTGTGGGTGCGTGGTTGGCTCTGTGGCTGGAACGATCGTGATGATCTCAGATGGCCTGTTTGATGCATTGCAAGGCCATTGAGTACTGTTGCATGGCCGGGTTTGAATGTTTTAAAATTAATCCTAACGTTTGTTTACAAAAGGTGTGTTTTAATTCTTGTCCGGTTGACTGTTGGCATCTCAGTTCTGCCAGCTAACCAAGCCAGGCGTCGCTCTGTGTCGTCAGAGCGCGAGACTGACGTCCGTGTCTGTGAATACATGGAGGTGACAGCAGCACTAGGGGACTCTTCCCTGAATAGTTGTCTAGTAGCTTTCACACCACACGCGTCATTCACTCCGGGGACTTCTTTCCCCGCTGGGGAAATGACCGAGTGAATTTTAAATCCCGTACAGTTGCCACCCCTTGGAGGCTCTGCCTTTCCTTCCCACCTCCCTGTTGTTACATGTCTACCCGTTAAAGAAGGACGGGGTGGGCAGGAGAAGGAGAGCCCCGGGGGCGTCATCGGTGGAGCTAGCTCAGTCCTGTTAAATACGCCAGCCATTTCAGATACAGCTCACCCGGGGCCAGCCACTTGGCTCTGAGGGCCCAGAGGGGGAAGAGCGGACCGTGGCTCCTGGGCAGGACGGCCGCTCAGCTCTGACCTTACACTCACCTGCTGACGGGCCGTGTGCTGCAGTGGGTGCAGCAGAGACTCGAGAGCCAGGCTGCGCCTCAGGAACTGTGTGCCCGCCTCAGGTTCCCCATCCACGCTGCCCAGCACTGTAGTGTCCTCCTCGGGGGGCTGCTGGGAGGGCTAGATGAGTAACGCGCGTGAGGCCTTAGGGCAGCGCCTGAGCCCACATGTAGCCGTTCGAGTCAGCGCTGTGGGCTTTCAGTAGACTCCCTTCTCCTTGTGACGCAGGTGGATAGGCTGCCGGAAAGTGCGTGGTCTGCAAAACCGTGCTGAGTGTGGTGTTCACGGGTTTCCCTCCGTGTTCCTCACAGCCGCAGTCGGCGTGTGGATTCGGCTCTCGCTCACCTCCACGGAGCCCAGAGGCCGGGGCCCTCGGGAAGCCTGCCAGGCTGGAGGCCCCCGGCCAGCATGGCACGGCAGGGCAGTGTTTTCAGTTCAGTAGTGCTGCTTATGGAATGAAAAACGAGCCGCTTTTTAAAGATGAGCATTTTTCTTCTAAAGAGTATGCAGACATATTTTTTATAAATTTTCGCTGTAACTTGGCCTTTAGCGTAATCTCCGTCGACTCATTGAGTAGTCTGAATGAGAGCGGCTTCGTTTTCTTTTCTCTTAGCCTTGGTTTCTCCTCGCCTCTTTATGAATCCCATTCCCCCTGCTGGGTGTCAGCGACACTGAGATTAGAGTGTGGAGGGATGAAAAAAAATTCTAGAAAGACAGTGTAGGGAGTGTGTTACACATAACAAGACTTTTTACCCATGTATAAATAACCAAGGCATAAACCTGGTGAGGTGGATTGTCCTAGTGGCTATTTAAAATAAGGGATTTGTAAAGTGGATTCACTCTTGGCAGCAGCCCCGCCATCTTCCCACCTCTCCTGGGGCCGTGGCTGGATAGTGATAGAAGGTGCCCCAAGTCTGCCTGTAGGGGGCAGGTGTAGACCGGGAGGACCAGTGTCTGCTAGGGATTGTTGAAAGTCCCTTGTTATTTTATGGGCGGGGGGCTTACCTGTGGGGCAGTGCAGTGTGTTAGTTTGGGGGCGGGGGGCTTACCTGTGGGGCAGTGCAGTGTTTCTTGAACAAGATCAGGGGTCTGTGTTGTTTCGGGTAGAAGCTGTGACTGGGCTGCAGTTTCCTCAGCCAGGTCTTTGTCCTCCCCCACCCCTGCGGCCATGCCAAGGTTGAGGTCAGAAGGAAAAGTCCAGCTGGCCTGCAAATTATCTGGAGAGTTTAAAGAGAGACAAAGCCATCACTTTAAGTAGCTGTGATTTGCGCGGTTGTACATTTTCAAGCTGTTTTTATGTCCGTTGATGCCCCAAACTGTGGCTGTTAGAGTTCCTCCAGGCATGCCAGGGCTCCTTGAGGGAGAAGGGACCAGCCCTGGGTGAGCCTCGGATCCTCTTGCTCACTCCCTGGCACCCAGACAGTGCCGCCCAGAGCCTCGGGGCGCCCCACGGGGAAGTGTGCGCCGCGTGTGACTGCTGTGTGCCACTAACCGCACGCTGTGCTCCGCATGTTCCTCTTGTGGTGTTGGGACAGGCGACGTGTCGGGGACACAGAGGCTGGACTCGGCCACCGTGCGGACCTACTCCTGCTAATACCTGCTGTCGGTGAGTAAGTGCGTGGCCCTGCAGAGATGCCGCTCACTCCCCAAGCGTGGCGCCTGATGGCGAGCTTGGCACGCGGGCCCGTTTCCGTCAATTTAGGAAGTTAGCAAATAGACACCCAGCCTCTCTGCGCCCATCAGGTGGCTCTGCTGCTCTGTGCGCTTACAGTTCGTTGTAACGACCTTTGTGTGCCTGGGTTTTTAAGGGAAAAAGATGTATTTCCACTTTTTCCTTAAACCTGGAAATGCCGGCTTGTTTTACGTGTCTGCTGATACCTTGCTTCTCTCTCTCTTTTCTGCGGGGAGGTTGAGGGGATGAGCAGAGCATGGTAAAAAAGAATAGGAGTTGGGCCCTTCGTCACCCCAAGGCGATGGGAGTGCCGGGACGGCTGCGTCCTGCTCTGACTTTGGTTTACGCACTGTGCGCTCCGAGCACGCCGGCGCAGGCGTCTCTGCTTTAAACCCGTGTCCTCGAGGGAAGCAGGCCCCCCGAGTTGGGTTGGTCATCGCCTGCAGCACGAGGCTTCGCGAGGCCGTGTTGTCCTCTGACACCGGTAACCTTTCACCTTGGAAAACCGCTTCAGCGTCTCAGGGCGCAGCTACCGGGGCCCTGGGGTTCTCTCCTGCTCTGCTCTGTGTTGCTGTTGGAGCGGCACACTTCACGGCTGCCTTCATCTCTCTCTTTTTAAAGAATCGGTAACTTTTAGAGCTGTGCAAAGTGAAGTCGGTCAGGAAGCCGCCCGCCGACATTCCGAGGCCTCAGTGCGTCAGCTGCTAATCCTCCAGGCAGCTGAAGCAGGCAGTGGGGGGGGGCCGGCTCGTCAGGGTGGCTGGTCTGAGGCGTCCTTCTCTCGGCTCTTCTTTTTCAGTTTACCCACACTACTTCTACAGGTGACGATGCCGCGCTTCCAACCCCGCAGGACTGCGCTTCAGAATCCCATGGAACCCTTAATCTGTTAATACTTGTTATATGGACCCTGAGATATTTTATTACAGAGTTTTTAATTAGTGAAAAATTCACAAATACCATAGAGAAAATATTTTAGAATTTAATGTTTCTTATATTTATGTAAACTTATGACTCTTCATTTATATAGTTACTTACTTTTTCATGTATATCCAGGCTATAAATATCCTTTCAAATCAATCCATGTTCTTATACCTAATTTTAGTCTTTCAAATGAATGTACTGTAATGCTTATATATATAAATTCTATGAACGAATATGGGGCTTTTGTAAATTATGCATTTATTGTAATTATCACTGTTTAATTTTTTAATAATAAACCATGTCAGAGGAAAGGATTTTACTACGTTTGTAAAACTGTTGTGACACAGCAGTAGGCGTTATCCTTTGCAAGCGTGAATTAGCGCCACAACAATCATTTTGAAACGACTTAATTTCAAGCAACTATTGTCATATTTTAATGACTGACCTTAACTGTACTTTTTGTAGCAAGAAATGGTTTATTCAGCAGGAACAGGTTTCAGACATCTGGTGTTATTAAACATCAGCCTCTAGTACAACTTGGACTGCACAGAACACTAGACTCTACTGGACAGGGGGCTCGTCTGCAGTGAATGACCAGACACTGGGGGCCGGAGGGACGCTGGGCTGTCAGCTGAGGCAGCCAGGCAGACGACCGCCTCGTGCGCCTTCTCGCCAGCTCTCCTTCCGGGAGCAGGGGCTGCAGGGCGCGGGCACCGCGACTCACAGAGGACCAATGACGCAGCGCTCTCATTTCCCAGATGTGGGCACACTGCCAAGATGAAGGTGCAAGATCCTGGAAATAATGTAGTACAACTTAATAAAGGCCTTATTTTTCTTATGTAAATCACCTTTTTACATTTGTTTGTAAACATGTTTAAAGAACGGATCTAGACGTACATTTTTAGATTTTGATGATATAGCCATTTTGGATTGTATAAGCAGCAAATGTAACTTTTACTTTTTAAATGGCATATTAAAAAGCCAGCGAGAAATGTGTTCAGATCATGGTGCGTTATTTATTATGCAGCTGAAATACAGAGAGATAAGTAGAGCATGTCTTTTTCCATTTTGGTTTCTGCTTTTAATTTACTTGTACAATTCAGTGTTACTGTTCTGGTTTTCTTTTAGTCTTTTGTGAACTTCCTGATTATGTAACAAAGTATGTACAGTCTACTTTTGAACTATTTTTATCACAGTATTATTTATTGCCTTCTTTCAATAAAGTACTGGAGCATTTTCCACTGCCAATAAAAAACACTGAGAATAAGCTGTAATGATACTGAAGACTGAACGCAGCTTGTTTTAACCTCATTCTGTAGGTGGATTGGATTGGAGGCAGTGTCACCATATGAAAGTTCTAGAAATCGATGGCTAGGATAAAAAAGCTGCAAGATGGAATGTAGGATAAGTACCTTCCAGCCCTGGAAGACTCCTGTGACCAGAAAGGCACAAGAGATGGGTTGATTGTCTCAACCAAAACGAGAGCTAGTCGGTGGAGAGGGCTGGCTTCAGGTGGAATTGTAGGTTTGGGGGCTCTGCTCCATTAACAGGTAAGGCACCATTTGTTGTGGAGTCCTGTGTGCCAGGCACTTGCAGGGCTCAGTGATGTGACCAGGGGGTACGGTGTGTGTGTTTCCTGACCGTGTCTGAGCTGTCTGGCCTGCTCTCTCCATGTGGGCATGAGCTCACCCCCAGGGCTGCAGAGCCCTGACCACTGGGGCTAGGGAGGCCCACTTCTGAGAAGGGTCGCGGGGCCCTGACCGCTGGGGCTGGGGAGGCCTGCCCCCAAGAAGGGCTGCGGAGCCCCGACCGCCGGGGCTGGGGAGGCCCGCTTCTGAGACGGAACCACAGTCCTGAGTCACGTGGCAGAGGGGAGGGGAGATGCTGACTGGCTCAAACCAGTCATCCGGCAGGGCCACCCTCAGGTGGGAGTGAGCTCCGGCCACCCAAACAGAAGGGGTGAAAGTTGATTCCTGGGGGGCAGGGTGGGTGCTGGCGAGGGGGTTCACAAGTGGCCACTCCAGGTGGTCCGGAGCAACAGTGAGAGATGCTGGAGCCTACAAGGTTACGGCTCCCTCCGCCCCGCCCAAGAGGCGAGCTTGCCGACAGGACGGCGCACAGAGGCCGAGGGCGCCCCCCCTCAGGTGGGGCTGGCATGGGCCCTGCGAATGGCAGCCTTGGGGTTCGTGTGCTGTTTGGTGCTCCCACAGCTAACAGCCCCTCCTCTGACTGACTCATGTCTTCTTTACCTGGATTCCTGCAGCCGTCTCATTCTATCAGGTACTTGTGTGTCTCCAGTTAGAGCCTGTTCTTCCCGGTCTTACAGTCTAAACTCAAGGCAGCCTGGTTTTCTGCATCTCCTAGTAGAGAGTTCACTTCAGTATGAGATTAAAGACGACACAGTGCTTCCTGCTTTTCCCGTCTAACGTTCCCTTTCAGCTGACCAAAGCCAGGCAAAGCTTGGGGACGTCAGAGCTTCTGAAAAGAAAACAGCGTTCACTGATTCATTATGCTGTGAGCGTCTTCTCAGCCTTGGAGTCTTTGATTCCTCAGTTTTTATGCCTTTGAACAGTCAGTTGAGAAGTACACCAGCATGCTTTGTTAGGCTTTTCTGAGGCCAGCCATTTGCCTCACCGGGTTCCCCGTCGGCGTATCTCACATCAGGTGGTTGTGGGTTTGGGTTTTGTTTTCTGCTTTTGACTAACCACATCCTGCCTGTCCTCGTTCGCGATGAGGCTTCCAGGGTACAGAGGATTTACTCTTCGACAGGGCTTGGAACAGCTGAGAATCTGCATTTCTAACAAGTTCCCAGGCGATGCTAATGCTGCTGGTTAGGGACCAATTGAGAACCACTAGTAGGGCAGTGGTTCTCACAGCTTCCTATACATAAGAATCACCTGGGGATTTTGTTAAAATGTAGATCCTGATTCAGTATATCTGGGGTGGAAATACATATTCTCAGTAGGGGTTCGAACTGGAATGAACCGGTTTGAAGCCCTGCTCTTTGGAGGTAGATAAGTGTGAGGGAAGAGAAAGATAGATACTCAAGTGGTATTATTACTGCTGTTCTAAGTGCCCATATGTTACTTAATACATTTCTAAATAAATAGTTTTGTTTCCCTTTTGCATTTTCTTAATTCCCTGGTGAAAATGAGTAGCTGGTGATGTTGCTATTTAATTTCCATGGCTCAAAACAATGCCCCATATCAAGTCCTGTTGTTTGAGACCAGCACTTCACGCACCCCTGTACACAGATGCTGACCTCACGTCAAGGGCAGCGTGAGCAGAGAGCAGAGGGCGGGAGCACCGGCCTTGTGTCCCAGGACGAGAGGAGAACGCCCTGGCAGCAAGTACCTGTGCTGGGACATGGGGCAAGGAGGAGTCTCCGGGCGTTGGCAGAGACGTACGAGGTGGGGCCAAGAGAAAGCAGAAGCCTTAAATAGTCAACATGACCCCTGACATGCAAATCGGCTTGACTCCTGGGGTAGTTAATCTTCAAACTTGAGTGTGCAAAGCCTCCCCCAGGGAGTTAGCTAAAACTAGGTTTGGGGGCCCCTACTCCATTAAAAAGCAATGCAGCGTTCATTTATTGAGTCCTGTGTACCAGGCATGTACTTCTTAGTCTGTACTGGGGTGAATGAGGTGAGGCTCAGGAATTTGAATTGTTCTGTGGCACTGGAGTGAAGGCTGGATTGGAGGGAGGGAGAAGTTACCTAGTGCTGCTATAACAGAAATACCGCAAGTGGACTAGCTTTAACAAATCTTTTCTCTCACCATCTAGGAGGCTAGAAGTCTGAATTCA